TAACCAGATATATGACAAACAGCTCCATATGATTAAGAAGAAGTCAAAAGAAAGGCGGCCAAAGTTAATTAATCTTTCTTATAATGGCACCAATGATGACTCTATTTTATTCAAGACTTACAAAACAAGAAAGAAAAGGCAGGGAAGGTCAGTCAACATTCTGAGTGACAAAAAGGAGAAAACTGACACCATTAGTGTCAGCAGTGATACTAGTCACAGCTTGACAGACGTCACAGAGCTTTACATGCCAAGTGACTGTGTCCACACTACTGGGGAAGTTAATCAGACTGAGGCAGTAGATTTTACTGATGGACACATACATGAGTCATATTCTCATGGTCAGCGTCACCAAGAATCAAGTTACCAGAGTCTTTCTGATGGCAGCTCTTATCATCCGTCAACATATCCAAGTTTAAGTATGTTGTATGGAGAATATTTGACCACTGCTGGGTCTAGCACTGATTCTGCTCATGAATTATTGACAAATTTAGAGGCAGTAGATTCTCACTTGATGCAGCCAATAGACGCAGAGATCAGTGATTCAGTTCATAAACTACATGGCTCCAGCAATCCAGCTAGAAGCTTTGATAGATCTAGTTCTGTTGCTTTAGCTAGAGACAGAGATAGCATTAAGCACATTACATTTAGTGGCATTGACAGATTAACACCATTTGATAGTTCAAATGACAGAGACAGTGTTAAACAAAGTAAAGACAGGGCCATTGATAGATCTGCACCTTTTGAAACAGCAAATGATAGAACTAGTCCCAGACTTGTGATTGCAGAAACTGATAGATTTAGTTCCAAACCTGCGATGTCATTGAATAAAATAGTCAGTCATGTAAATGGAGCAAGTGATGGAAGTAGCCCACAAATTGATACTGCTGCCACTGTTTTCCCACATCTTAATGATAATGTAAGACATACAAGTGATGTGTTCAATAAATTATGTATGAATGGGCAAGGGAATTTGCAAGGTACTCATGATTTTAGACCTGATGTCATAGACCGTGATTCAGAATGTGAAAAATCCACAAAACAAGATACTGATAGAGCTAATTTGCTTGATGTATCTGCTGAAATGAATGCCCTCCTTCTCACTAACAGGAATGTGTGTGATGAAGACATTCTAATCAACGTTATCAGTGATGACAGTGCTGCAGATATAAAGCGGACTGTTAACTTATTGCACACAGATGAAACTGTGAAGTATATTCCAAGACAGGAAAATGAATACAATACACAGCATACTGACTTAGCTAAAGACATCACAGGGGAATTTAAAGACATAAAAGAATGTGATTCTAGAGATGAGTATGGATTAGTTTGTACTTCTGATGCAGGTTCTGATAAAAACATAACTGGACAAGACGAAGCAACAAAAGAAAACAGTGCAGCAGGTAGGCAGTTGCTGAAGATTGAAGAATTCTCTGATAAAAAGTTCACTAGCATGGATTCTACTTCAACTTCAGAAGATATATTGGATTTTGTCACTGTATCTGATGATGAGATCCTAGAGAAGAAGAGCAGTAATTCACCAAGTTGTCCTCAGGGTTCATTAGAGGCTGACAGATGTGAAGAAGCCACTCAATCACAAGCTACCTTGGAGTCTACGGATTTTTCCTTTTCAAAGTTCCACAGCCAAATCAGCATTGCCAGCTGCAGGTCAACAGGAAATGGTATGTCTAAGGTTTCAAATGAGGATCTTGAATCAGCACTGCCACTGACTGCTCAGAGTTCACCTCAGTCAAACAATACAGCCATCCATCCTAGAAGTTTTTCTTTTGGCAGCATCCCTTCAGGAAAGAAAGTACTGAGATATGTCAAAACCCCGTCTCCGATCCAGGCTCCCACAGGGGCTGTGATTCCTATGATAGCATTAACGGAGGCTCAGCCTAGGCTTTGCTGGAGATGGCTGGATGCAACCAGTTGTGTCATTGAAGATCCTTCAACTGTTGACTGGCTGTCATCTGCTTCCAAAGGTAAGCCAGAAGCCAGTTATGGCTGTTTGATTTTGATTTGTCCTGTCCGTTTTAACAAGACAGATTTTTAATTGACTAGGGGTTCCACAGGTCATCCAAGCCTAAAATGTTTACCAGGAATTGTTCATGGAAGTAAAGGTGGCTAGTGTGATATAATCGCATCATCCTTATAGTGTTGATTAGTCTGTTTAAAAAATGGGTCAGTCAACATGTGCCTGAAGTGTCGCTGGTGTGAAAAAGGGACTTTACAGTTTTAAGACAAAGAAGATGGCACTATATTGGACACAGCTTGAGAAGAAATGAGCAGAGAATCACCGAATAGGTACAAAAATGTTAAATAAAGGGATTGAGAAAGCGAGAACACCCAAAAGAAACCTTAAAATGAATGTTGATGACAGAGGTCAAAGGTGCTGGACAGGATTCCCTAGCGATATCGAAGTGTCGACGCAGGAAGGAAATGAATGCAGGAAAAGACTGCTAGCCCTATGTGACATATATAGAACAATGATGATGATGGGCTCTTGTACCCCCGCCTCCACAGGAGTGTATTCCCAGCCAGTATTATTCTGGAGTCGCTTCATCTTCTTAGAATCAACTCATCAAAGAGATGCAAAGCTCATAAACCATGACCTGGAAGCAAATAAAACAGAACCTTCTGTCCGTATCCTGCCACACAGGATGCCCCTAGTCCTCTATGGGGCTCATGTTATATGAAACTATAGTGGACGCGGAAGTCCACTGCAGTAAAAGTCTAACATGCAGCAGAAACAAAGTACTTGTTTTGAGTAGGTAGTCGAAATCCCAGGTCTGCAGGCTGCCTACCGGAAGCTTCTAAAGACAGCCCTTGATGAATGAGATGTCCAGTACACGGAAGTGAGGTTAAATAGTCATGAGCAGGACGCGACGATTCCTTGGGTGAGCCCAGTACCAGTGTATTGGCTCTACATTTATGGAAGCCTTCTTGGATGGTGGGGAATGCTCATGTTCTACCCCTGCCTTCTCTTGCGAGCCCATTTATGTTATCTTGTCTTCACCTTGTGCGATGCAATTTTTGGTTATTTTGAAGCCCCGCCCTGGCTTTTTCCGTGGGCCCTAAATATAGCCTAACGGCTGAACAGGGTTTCCGGGACCTTTCCACTGGTGATCCTCATCCGCATGGTGTCACTTTGTGGGGTACAGCTTACCTGGTGGGGTACAGCTTACCTGGTGGGGTACAGCTTACCTGGTGGGGTACAGCTTACCTGGTGGGGTACAGCTTACCTGGTGGAGTACAGCTTACCTTGAGGGCTGACCTGCATTATCTGGCTTCTCTGGACCGGTCTGATGTGAGCCACCACCTGTGGCCAGGGAAACAACGATGACCACACAACTGTGAGACTGCAGTGTCCTATGAAACTAACTGGCAAGGCTAATTTGGTCCAAAAATGTCTGCAGAAGTAAAATGTGTTGGCCAAAAGGAGCAAATATCACAGCCATGCTGTAAACGGGCACAATGCAGTTACATCTTCGGAGCAAGCAAGAAGAAGAAGAAGAAGAAAACTAATCATGCCATCCTCACATTGAAGGTTGTCTCCCGGGGGATCTATTATTGTGTTCAACTTTGTTTCCTAACCTCCATTGACATGGATTTATTGCACAAAATGTTCTTCATGTTATAAAAGGCAGTTTTCACCCTGTCCTGTTCTGTTCTGTTCTGTCCTGTTCTGTTCTCTATCTCTGTGACACATCTTCCCTCTGAAGTTATCCATGTGTCCAGATACTTAAGTTTCTGCCTTTGACTCTTATTATACATTTGAGCACAATTTTTTCTTGGAAATCACCATTACTTCTGTCTTCCCATTATTCAAACTAAGGCCCATTTATCACTTTCTACCACCACCTCTGTATCTGTTAGTAGTTATTTCTGACTTGTCGCTATCAAGACGGATCATCATCATAACGCAGGTTGATTAATATTATAGACAGCAAAACCTTGTTAAAACAAACTCGTTTAAGAAGAATACTTGGTTAACTTAAACAAAACTTTCAGTCTAAGCTGAGATATTGTATATAGGGATGTATTATATAGGGATGTATTCTATAGGAATGTATTATATAGGAATTATTCTATAGGGATGTATTGTATAGGAATGTATTATATAGGAATTATTCTATAGGAATGTATTATATAGGAATTATTCTATAGGAATTTATTATATAGGAATTTATTATATAGGGATGTATTGTATAGGAACAGAGTATATAGGGATGTAATATTAGTCCCCAGTTAGCAGTACTTTCTTTTTTAACAGAAATTCTTGATTTTTCAGTCCCTTGGAATTGGTATTCTTTTTTACTGTGTAAATATCAGAACTGTCTTGATGATTATGATGTCTTTGGCCGTAGAAGCAGCTAAAGACTTCAAATCATTTCTAATATATTAAGTATTAGGCACCCTTTTAATAAGCATGTTAAATGAAGAATTAACATCACACCACTCAGGTAGCTCCCATAAGTGGTTAGTTCCCATCTTCAGCAGCAAGCGAAGAGTTCCATATCCGATGGTACTAATAATTGTCTGATTGTAGATCCATCTTATCGTTCCCCTGAGTGTTGAGTGTCGGCCAGATCCTCTTGTAACTCCTCACAGTGCCATTCTCCTTAGACTGTAATGATCCATCTGTGCCTCCGCACTGTTCACTCACTCCCAAAGGGCCCTCTAATATGTCATGCGTCAATTCACCAACAAGTGATGCAGAGCCAACCAGTTTATCTGTCTGCTCATTTCCTAAAACACCTGCACAACCTGGAGAAAATATGTTGAAAATAAGCATGTTGTAAAAGGTGGCTTATTAAGGGTTTGATGAGTACATTGGGCCAAAAGGTATTGATATCACAGCCTCTCTGTAAACCACAACACATTGTACCGACTGTCTTTTTAGTGGAGAAAGAAGATGAAGAAATAGTTTACATTTTACAGACAACATGAATATTTGACATATTTAACTTTCTGTTTGATTTTCTGTGCCTGAAATGAAGAATCAGACAGTAGGAGGAAGTTTGTAAAGATTGCTAAACATTTGAGAGAGGATGTTGTGAAAAAACTTCAAGACCGCAACAAGAGAGAAATGCACATGTTCAAAGACTTTGAGCAGGCTGTTAAAAGGGTAAGTGATTTAAAACATTGAGCAAGCTATTAAAGGGGTGAGTGTTTTAAGACAAGCTATTAAAGGGGTGAGTGATTTAAGACAAGCTATTAAAGGGGTGAGTGTTTCAAGACAAGCTATTAAAGGGGTGAGTGATTTAAGACAAGCTATTAAAGGGGTGAGTGTTTCAAGACAAGCTATTAAAGGGGTGAGTGATTTAAGACAAGCTATTAAAGGGGTGAGTGTTTCAAGACAAGCTATTAAAGGGGTGAGTGTTTCAAGACAAGCTATTAAAGGGGTGAGTGATTTAAGACAAGCTATTAAAGGGGTGAGTGATTTAAGACAAGCTATTAAAGGGGTGAGTGTTTCAAGACAAGCTATTAAAGGGGTGAGTGATTTAAGACAAGCTATTAAAGGGGTGAGTGATTTAAGACAAGATATTAAAGGGGTGAGTGTTTCAAGACAAGCTATTAGAGGGGTGAGTGTTTCAAGACAAGCTATTAAAGGGGTGAGTGGTTCAAGACAAGCTATTAAAGGGGTGAGTGTTTCAAGACAAGCTATTAAAGGGGTGAGTGATTTAAGACAAGCTATTAAAGGGGTGAGTGTTTCAAGACAAGCTATTAAAGGGGTGAGTGTTTCAAGACAAGCTATTAAAGGGGTGAGTGTTTCAAGACAAGCTATTAAAGGGGTGAGTGATTTAAGACAAGCTATTAAAGGGGTGAGTGTTTCAAGACAAGCTATTAAAGGGGTGAGTGTTTCAAGACAAGCTATTAAAGGGGTGAGTGATTTAAGACAAGCTATTAAAGGGGTGAGTGATTTAAGACAAGCTATTAAAAGGGTGTGAGTGTTTCAAGACAAGCTATTAAAGGGGTGAGTGTTTCAAGACAAGCTATTAAAGGGGTGAGTGTTTCAAGACAAGCTATAAAGGGTGTGAGTGATTTAAGACAAGCTATTAAAGGGGTGAGTGTTTCAAGACAAGCTATTAAATTGGTGAGTGTTTCAAGACAAGCTATTAAAGGGGTGAGTGTTTCAAGACAAGCTATTAAAGGGGTGAGTGTTTCAAGACAAGCTATTAAAGGGGTGAGTGTTTCAAGACAAGCTATTAAAGGGGTGAGTGATTTAAGACAAGCTATTAAAGGGGTGAGTGATTTAAGACAAGCTATTAAAGGGGTGAGTGATTTAAGACAAGCTATTAAAGGGGTGAGTGTTTCAAGACAAGCTATTAAAGGGGTGAGTGGTTTCAGACAAGCTATAAAAGAGCTGAGGGGTTTAAGATGAGCTATGAAAGGGGTGAGTGATGTAAGACAAGAAGCTATTAAAGGGGTGAGTGGCTTCTTACAAGTTATTAAAGGAGTGGTTTAAGACACTGTGTAAGTTATCAAAAGGGTGAGTGATTCCGGATATTGAACAATACATCATCACTTCTATGAGATTTCAAACAAAATCACCAAACTGTAGGACAGTTGGTTACTTTGTAACCCTAGGGTATCTGATGAATCGCTAAAAACTGTTTTCATGCAGTTCAGTAGGGTATCTGGTCCTGTTGGGTTTGCATCTGAAAAGTGGCTGTTTGAGGCACTGATGTCAGTGAGTCTGTTAGGCTGCACTTCTGAGGGGAATTAGAGAGAGCCCTAGAGAGAGAGAGAGAAAATATTCATAGGGTGGATGTGATAAGACATCAGACAGATTATTATTATTATTATTCACATTCAGTGGCTGTAAACTCTGGCAGAAAGTTGTGGTTGTTTGACCACTTCTTGACTCTAGCCCTGTTTCAGAATGAGTGTTGCACGCGCATCCGTTTTACAGATCTGATTCATCTGTATGCAGACTGTTTGTTCCTTGCTTCTCAGCACATTCATTCTGACTTCGAAGGAAGCTGCCAGTCTTTTCTGTTTTTTTTCACAGTGGGGCCCGGAACTCACATGTGAAAGACTAGACAGATTATTAAAAGGGTTGATTTTATAAGAAATGGGACAAATGTTCAAAAGGTGAACACAGGTATTAATAGGGCGAGTTCTATAAGACGTTGAACAAAATATTCCAAATAGTAAGTTTTGTAATGCATAGACAAAAATTTCACATAATTATGTTATCACAGTGATGTCACTGCACATTGGGCATTCCTATGCCTGCTCAGTCCATCAATGCAGCAGCCATCACAAGGTGCCTCTCCTGATTGTTCCCATGAGAAGCTGATTATAATGTCTCCTATCTCAGTCTTAAAGACAGCACTGATGTGCTTCAACAGGCTTCTTTCTGAGATCACACAGTCGTGTTAACATCAAAGATTCTTTGAAATATTGAGTTCTGTTAGACATTAAAAACAATCTTTGCAGAGCTATTTCTGTAAAACGTTAGCCCAACCTTCTGAAGACTGTTATATCTTCTGCTTCTTTTTGTTCACCCGAGTGACCTAATTATTACATTGTGCCTGTTTACAGCAGAGCTGCGATATTTGCACCTTCGACCGACACATCCGACTTCATCAAGCATTAGTTGATCTGGTTAACTCCCGGAGACCGTTATAAAATACTTTGCTAATAAATTTCTTTTTTTTTCTATTCCCCCCCCCCCATAAGGCTCCCCCTCCCCCAGTCCCCCCCCCCCAGGTCCCCCCCCCCCCCCCCCCCCACCACCTCACCCAACTCAGCCATGCTACCCAGTCTTTTACCAACCAAAACTGATCATACTATATCCTCTCCATGGCATTCAGCTCTACTCCATTTGCTTTTCAAGTCCCCCTTTTATCTCATACTGGTCTTCAGGATCCTCCGCAGGAACAATCTAATTATATTACTATCATGTTTTATCACATGGTGTTAGGTAGGGGAGCAACCTGTCCTGAGAGCTGAGGTATTTTAGGTGGGTGAGCAACTTGTCCTGAGAGCTGAGGTATTTTAGGTGGGTGAGCAACTTGTCCTGAGAGCTGAGGTATTTTAGGTGGGTGAGCAACCTGTCCTGAGAGCTGAGGTATTTTAGGTGGGTGAGCAACCTGTCCTGAGAGCTGAGGTATTTTAGGTAAGTGAGCAACTTGTCCTGAGAGCTGAGGTATTTTAGGTGGGTGAGCAACTTGTCCTGAGAGCTGAGGTATTTTAGGTGGGTGAGCAACTTGTCCTGAGAGCTGAGGTATTTTAGGTGGGTGAGCAACTTGTCCTGAGAGCTGAGGTATTGTGGCCATTTTAAGCCTCATGGTGGCCTAGAGAGAAGGGGGATAGAGGGTACAGTAACACGAGGCAGAGGCAGACCTCTGCAAACATAGATAAAACACAGGGCTAGAGAATTTGGTTAAAAAAAGAGAGACTTTTAGGCGTGCTGTGACGAGAGCGGCGTTCTGTAAAGGACCAGCTGTCAAGTTAAAATTCCACTGGTTCACTTGTCTGTTACCAGAGACTATACTCAGAGAGATAGAGAGAAAGAAAATGAGCGAACAAATCTAAAAACTTTATTTTCAGAGAACTGCAGAGGAAGAGAGAGGGGGGAAGAAAGAGAGAGAGAGAAAGAGAGAGAGAGAGAACCTTGCCACAAGCATGCTGTCTAAAATAAATAAAACAGACCCATCTCTGCACATACTGCCATACACAATGCCTCGGGGCATCTGTGTGGGAAGTGTGGTCACATTATGAAACACAATGCCGCGGGGCATCTGTGTGGGAAGTGTGGTCACATTATGAAACACAATGCCTCGGGGCATCTGTGTGGGAAGTGTGGTCACATTATGAAACACAATGCCTCGGGGCATCTGTGTGGGAAGTGTGGTCACATTATAAAACACAATGCCGCGGGGCATCTGTGTGGGAAGTGTGGTCACATTATAAAACACAATGCCTCGGGGCATCTGTGTGGGAAGTGTGGTCACATTATAAAACACAATGCCGCGGGGCATCTGTGTGGGAAGTGTGGTCACATTATGAAACACAATGCCTCGGGGCATCTGTGTGGGAAGTGTGGTCACATTATGAAACACAATGCCTCGGGGCATCTGTGTGGGAAGTGTGGTCACAGTATGAAACACAATGCCTCGGGGCATCTGTGTGGGAAGTGTGGTCACAGTATGAAACACAATGCCTCGGGGCATCTGTGTGGGAAGTGTGGTCACAGTATGAAACACAATGCCGCGGGGCATCTGTGTGGGAAGTGTGGTCACATTATAAAACACAATGCCTCGGGGCATCTGTGTGGGAAGTGTGGTCACAGTATGAAACACAATGCCGCGGGGCATCTGTGTGGGAAGTGTGGTCACATTATAAAACACAATGCCTCGGGGCATCTGTGTGGGAAGTGTGGTCACATTATAAAACACAATGCCTCGGGGCATCTGTGTGGGAAGTGTGGTCACATTATAAAACACAATGCCGCGGGGCATCTGTGTGGGAAGTGTGGTCACATTATAAAACACAATGCCTCGGGGCATCTGTGTGGGAAGTGTGGTCACATTATAAAACACAATGCCGCGGGGCATCTGTGTGGGAAGTGTGGTCACATTATAAAACACAATGCCGCGGGGCATCTGTGTGGGAAGTGTGGTCACATTATGAAACACAATGCATCGGGGCATCTGTGTGGGAAGTGTGGTCACATTATGAAACACAATGCCTCGGGGCATCTGTGTGGGAAGTGTGGTCACAGTATGAACACAATGCATCGGGGCATCTGTGTGGGAAGTGTGGTCACATTATGAAACACAATGCCGCGGGGCATCTGTGTGGGAAGTGTGGTCACATTATGAAACACAATGCCGCGGGGCATCTGTGTGGGGAAGTGTGGTCACATTATGAAACACAATGCCTCGGGGCATCTGTGTGGGAAGTGTGGTCACATTATAAAAACACAATGCCTCGGGGCATCTGTGTGGGAAGTGTGGTCACATTATAAAACACAATGCCTCGGGGCATCTGTGTGGGAAGTGTGGTCACATTATAAAACACAATGCCTCGGGGCATCTGTGTGGGAAGTGTGGTCACATTATAAAACACAATGCCTCGGGGCATCTGTGTGGGAAGTGTGGTCACATTATAAAACACAATGCCGCGGGGCATCTGTGTGGGAAGTGTGGTCACATTATAAAACACAATGCCTCGGGGCATCTGTGTGGGAAGTGTGGTCACATTATAAAACACAATGCCGCGGGGCATCTGTGTGGGAAGTGTGGTCACATTATAAAACACAATGCCGCGGGGCATCTGTGTGGGAAGTGTGGTCACATTATGCACAATGCATCGGGGCATCTGTGTGGGAAGTGTGGTCAATTATGAAACACAATGCCTCGGGGCATCTGTGTGGGAAGTGTGGTCACAGTATGAAACACAATGCATCGGGGCATCTGTGGGGAAGTGTGGTCATCTCGGGGCATCTGTGTGGGAAGTGTGGTCACAGTATGAAACACAATGCATCGGGGCATCTGTGTGGGAAGTGTGGTCACAGTATGAAACACAATGCCTCGGGGCATCTGTGTGGGAAGTGCAGTATGAAACACAATGCCTCGGGGCATCTGTGTGGGAAGTGTGGTCACAGTATGAAACACAATGCATCGGGGCATCTGTGTGGGAAGTGTGGTCACAGTATGAAATTAGAAATTGCGATGGAAACAGGTCCACTAGATTAAAAGTCTGACATGTTGAAGAAGCAAAGCGCTGATTTTAAGTAAGTCATCAAAAGCCCCAGGTCTGCAGTCTTGCCTCCTGCTGGCTTCTAAAGGTGATCAGTGAGAAGCTGAGCATGTGGAAGTCAAGTTAAACCAGTCAGCAGCAGAGCTGGGTGCCATAGGAGTCGAGGAAGCAACAGATGGTGACACAATATTGATGCTGTGCAGTGTCTCACAAAATTAACTGGGTCGGCTAACCTGCACAACTAAAGCCTGAAGAAAGTGGGTGTGCTGGTTGAAAACACAAATAAGATGGCCACACTGTAAATGAGCAGAAGGCAGTTTAGTTCTTTTGTGAATGAAGAAGAATGAGAAACATAAAAAGTTTACCCTCTGTTTCAGACCACATGGGTATGAACAGAAATGATACAATAGTGTGTGTGTTTCAGAGCACGTGGGTGAAGAAAGTCAACATGCAGATGTATCTATATGGCCGGAAGAGTCGCTGGATACCCTGCAGTGTTGAGCTGGAACAAGGCATTACCAACTTGAGTGAAGGTTCCTTAACTGTGCACTACCAACAAAAGAGGAAGCAGAAAGTGAGTGCCAGATAGCTGCTGACCTTGATTTGAATATATTTTATAATATTTTTATATTTCAGTCACAGAATACAATAGGCGTATTGGGTATATAGTGTTTGATTTGTATTTGATAGACCATGGAAACTCGGTGGGCGATGTGTTCAGCATTACACCTGCTGTCTTTACTTCACAGGACTTTACCTGGCATTAATTTTAAGCTGGACCCAAAGTCATTTTTAGAGAAAACAAATTTGGCTTGATGCAGATTTAAACCTAAAAATGCCAATCTTTTTTCAAAAAAGTTAAAATTTAGTCTGAGACTGGGTAAGGCTAAGTCTTTTTTTGAATATACATGAGTTCTATTTTTCTTCTTTTCAGACCTCTTAGGATAATCTAGATCAGTAGTTGGACATTTTTTATCACATTGGTGGCAGAAAAAGAGATAAGAAAAGAGGGGCTAACATATTTTACTATGAAATGTTCCCACCAACTTTTTAATGTCCTACCTCTCACTAAACATTGAGTCCCAAACAATTATTGTACTCATAGACACTCTATATCAGTGGCTCTCAACCTTCCAAATCCCGCGACCTTTTAGTACAGTTCCCTCAAGTTGTGGAGACCCACAAACAAATATTTTCCGTCATAACTTCAATAAATATGTTTTCCGATGGTCTTGGGCGACCCCTGTGAAAGAGTCGTGACCCGCAGGCTGAGAACCACTCATCTAGATGCAGAATCGGCAGAAAAAGAGATAAGAAACGAGGGAAAAACATATTTTACTGTGAAATATTTCCAACAACTTTTTGGTCTGCCACAAAAAAACTTTGAGTCCCAGACAATAATTGTACTCATGAATAGACACTCTAGATGCAGAATAGGTAATCTAGATGTATAATTTGACATTTCCTAGTGAAAAAGCCTAAAAATGCCCAAAATTGAGATTTCTCCACAGTGCCTCTCGGGTTTTGTCAAAAATTGACATTTTTCAAAAGTTGAAAATTTAGTCAGACAATCTTTTCACACCTCTTAGGATAATCCAGATGAGTAGTTGGACATTTTGGAGCACATCGGTAGCAGAAAAAGAGATAAGAAGGGAAAAACAGATATCACTGTGGCATTTTCTAAACAATATTTTGGTGTCCTACCACTAAAAATTGAGTCTCAAACAATTGCTGTACACATGAATAGACACTCTGGATGCAGAACAGGTGATCTAGATGTATAATTTGAATTTGAGGAGGCCAGCTACTTCACACCCCAACAGCAGTCTCTTCATTGAAACTACTTGAACTTTTTACTCTGGAAAAAGAAAAAAAATGTTATTTCCTAACTTTTTAATTGTTGTTTCTCGCTTGGATTTTATTTCCTTCCTAATGATGATTGATTTTTAGACTGCTTTTCTATGTTGAAAAAAAAAACAATATTCCCTGTCTTTCCTACTGGGAAGTTTAGAAATACTTAGCAAGACCCCAGTCTCTTTCATGATACAGCTCTCCTTCTATCCTTAAAAGGCAAAAAATTATCATTTCAAAAATAAAGTATATCGAACCCTAATACTCGAGGATCATCAAATTATTTCATCCTGCAATTTCTACTCTCTATGCCACAGAGCTGCCCACTATTCCTTAACACCTTTTTAATTATTTTGTTTGTTGCCATTCCGGTTCTGTCTTCTGAATCTTGTTTTTCCCCCCACAATGTATAGACCTTATTGATTCTGTGACATTAATTGGTATCTTTTTTCTTTGACAGAACATCCAGATACTGTTGTCAGAGATGATATGTGTGAAGCCCAGTTCAGATCCTGATAATGCATGCGGGTTTGTGGTGTACACCCCTGCCACCAACATGGTTTACCAGCCGCTGATGCTGAAGGCTGCCTCAGAAAATGAAGCCATTGACTGGGTAAGGCTAAGTCTTTTGTTGAATATACATGAGTTCTTTTTTCTTCTTTTCTCCCTCTGCCTCCTATGTCCCAGATGGTAAACATTCAAGGGACCGAGGCCTCATTCACATAGTGAGCGATGAATACTGTCAGAGACCTACTTTATTAGCTACTTACTCTGGCTCATTGGGTAGGCCAGCTAACAGACTTAAGTACCCTGTAACTCACTTAAAACACACCCCTACGGAGTACACACATAATCTTTAATGTACAAAGAACACTTCAACCTAAAGCACACCTCAACGGAACGGACGTTCCTTGATCTGAAACGCTGGTGATGATAGCTTTTATATTCATTAATCCACCCTGAGCCGTTCCCATGGATATCCCAAGGACTCGATTCCACCTCACTGTTGTACTAAGCTGCCATCCTGGCCACACAAGACTCAGTCGTATACATAGGTGAGTGATCTAAGTGTGAGTGGGCCGTGTTAACGTCACTAACAATGCATGTCAACATTAACTACCTGCTTAACAGATTCTGTAGGAAAACTTCTACTACACAAGAAGTGTTACAGATGAACAATCTTATCAGAACACTGTATGGAAACACAACATATCTAAAGCCTAACCACAAATACTATTCTTACTAAACGTCACTAATACAAACTACACTAAGCATTTTTAATAGAAGATACATTTTCAATCGCAGTCCCACAACCGTCCAGTCCAGATCTACACACGTGTCTCCCCCGAACAAGCTCTGTCTAGGCCTTTTGTTCCTCTCCTGCGTTCATCTCTGACACGCTGTAACTCAAGTTACTAGTGGGACCTAGGGCTTAGCCCACTCAGTCGAAACAGTTTATTCCATGGCTAGACTGCCTGATCTCGCTCTGAGTTTGACTGAAGGTCAACTCGTTCATAGGTGATGATTCACTATCATCACACCTACTCATCCCATAATCGAACAGGCCTCTAACAAATACATTGCAGCCAAAATCTGTTTTGGAGATAGCTAGTTGCGCATCCTTTACAGGGTGCTGCAGAACCAAACCCAGCATTTTTTGGCTTTTGTGGTTTTTTAAAGCAAATGTTACATTCAGTAGTTTGCCATTGCTTCTGAATGGTCAGGTCTTGATACCACTATCGAAACCAAGGCAAGGCAAACCGTCTGCAGCTGGAATCAAACCTGGTACCTCGGCATTACAAATTTGAAATTTAGCTGGCGGCTATGAAAAAAAGTTTAAACTAGAATTTTTTTGTAAGAGATATGATAAACAGTTACAGTTGTTGTTTCCATTTGTTTATGGTAAACTGAAGACTCAGTCTTTTGGTTGTCCAGTGTTCTCATTATTGTTAGACTGTGGTGAGCAAGCACGCTTGAATGGTTATTTCTGAGAACCATATGCCCTCTGTTTATGGTATGTATAGGAAGTGGGGGAAGGGCATGCTGTGTAAGAAAGAAGACCTTTGCAGCCAATGGATACACATGGACAGCTGCCCATAGGCACGAGCACAGAATTCAATAAAAATGAAAGTTGCAAAGAATTAAGTGACTGCAGTCCCATGGGCCTAGAAAGAAAACATTCCTATGACGACTCATGCTGTGATTCTGTCACCCTGATTACTGAAGGTTAAAGGGGAGTGTTGATGCCATTATGACTTCATAAGAACTTGAACAAGATTTTTTTTTTTAAACAAAATGTGGTAAGCCACCAATTCCCCCCCCCCCCCCACCAGTAGATATCATATCTAGCCCTTCTAAACACTGTGCAGATAGACACAAACAACCTGTGCTCTCATATCTAGCCCTTCTAAACACTGTGCAGTCACAAACAACCTGTGCTTTCATATCTAGCCCTCTCTAAACTGTGCAGTCACAAACAACCTGTGCTCTCATATCTAGCCCCTCTGAACACTGTGCAGGACAGATACAAACAACCTGTACTCTCATATCTAGCCCCTCTGAACACTGTGCAGACAGATACAAACAACCTGTGCTCTCATATCTAGCCCTTCTAAACACTGTGCAGACAGACACAAACAACCTGTGCTCTCATATCTAGCCCTTCTAAACACTGTGCAGACAGACACAAACAACCTGTGCTTTCATATCTAGCCCTTCTAAACACTGTGCAGACAGATACAAACAACCTGTGCTCTCATATCTAGCCCTTCTAAACACTGTGCAGACAGACACAAACAACCTGTGCTTTCATATCTAGCCCTTCTAAACACTGTGCACAGACAGACAACCTGTAAATATCTAAAACACTGTGCAGACAGACACAAACAACCTGTACTCTCATATCTAGCCCTTCTAAACACTGTGCAGACAGACACAAACAACCTTACTGCTATCTAGCCCTTCATATCTAGCCCTTCTGAACACTGAACACTGCAGACAGACACAAACAACCTGTACTCTCATATCTTCTCATATCTAGCCCTTCTAAACACTGTGCAGACAGACACAAACAACCTGTACTCTCATATCTAGCCCTTCTAAACACTGTGCAGACAGACACAAACAACCTGTACTCTCATATCTAGCCCTTCTGAACACTGTGCAGACAGACACAAACAACCTGTGCTTCTCATATCTAGCAACCCTTTCTAAACACTGTCTAAACAACCTGTGACAGGACATATCTCCTATCTAGCCCTTTTAAACACCTGTGCAGACACAAAACAACTGTGCAGACAGATACAAACAACCTGTGTGCTCTCATATCTAGACCCAAACTAACAGACACTGTGCAGAGACAGACACAAACAAACAACCTGTGCTTTCAGACACTAGCAACCTTCAGACAAACACTGTGCAGACAGACACAAACAACCTGTGCTTTCATATCTAGCCCTTCTAAACACTGTGCAGACAGACACAAACAACCTGTGCTTTCATATCTAGCCCAAAACAACCTTCTGAACACTGTGCAGACAGACACAAACAACCTGTACTCTCAGATCAACCTGTAGCACCAACCTTCTAAAAACAACCTGTGCAGACAGGCACAAACAACCTGTACTCTCATATCTAGCCCTTGCTGAACACTGTGCAGGACAGACACAAACAACCTTTACTCAAACATATCTAGCCCTTCTGACACACTGTGCAGACAGACACAAACAACCTGTACAGACACATATCCTGTGCCCTTCTGAACACAAACAACCTGTGCAGACAGACACAAAACAACCTGTACTCTCATGTGCAGGACCTACCCAAAACACACCTGTTATCTAGCCCTTCCAAACAACCTGCAACACAAACAACCTGTGCAGACAGACACAACAAAACACCTGTACTCTCATAACTAGCCAAACTTGCAGACACAAACACTGTGCAGACAGACACAAACAACCTGTGCAGAGACTCTCATATCTAGACCAACGTTTGCAGAGAAAACACTGTGCAGACACAAAAAACCTGTGCAGTCACAAACAAACAACCTGTGCAGACAGACACAAACAACCTGTGCAGACACAAAACAACCTGTGCAAACAACCTGTGCAGACACAAACAACATGTGCAGACAGACACAAACAACCTGTGCAGACACAGACAAACAAACCTGTGCAGACAGACACAAACAACCTGTGCAGACACACACAAACAACCTGTGCAGACACAAACAACCTGTGCTCTCATAACAACCTAGCCACAAACACAATAAACCTGTGCAGACAGACACAAACAACCTTGCAGAAAACACCTGTGCAGTCAGACACAAACAACCTGTGCAGACACAAACAACCTGTGCAGACAGACACAAACAACCTGACAAAAACAACCTGTGCAACACAACCTGTGCAAACAACCTGTGCAGACAGACACAAACAACCTGTGCAGACACAAAACAACCTGTGCAGACAGACACAAACAACCTGACACAAACAACCTGTGCAGACAGACTGAAACAAACCTGTGCAGAGAGACACAAACAACCTGTGCAGACAGACACAAACAACCTGTGCAGACAGACACAAAACAACCTGTGCAGACAGACACAAAACAACCTGAACACAACCTGTGCAGACAGACACAAACAACCTGTGCAGACAGACACAAACAACCTGTGCAGAGACAGAGACACAAAAACCTGTGCAGACAGACACAAACAACCAACCTGTGCAGACAGACACAAAACAACCTGTGCAGACTCAGCAGACAGAATTGTCTCAGCCAGAATTGTTGAGGACAGGCCAATTCAGCAATGTCGATTTAGCAGCTTCTTAGAGATTTGTGACGGACAGTGATGCCAGATTAGTGGTGTCTCGGAGCCAGAGTCAACTTAAGAAGCTAAGTATACTTCATGTTCTCAAACACAGATGGGTTGCCTGAGTGCAGCAAATGCTGCTGCTTGGGGCATGAACTGCTCTGCTACTCCTGGTGCCATATGGTCGTGCACATTCTCAGGGGACGTCTTCATCAGCCCAGCCTCATCAGCGTGCAAGAGTCCATCAGAGCTGTGAGTTGTCTGTTTTTAAATTTTTTTAAAACTTGAAATCAACATGTTGGGTGAAGCTCCCATGATGTTGCAGCTAGTTGCTCACCTGTAGATTGGAAGGTCCTGGGTTCAGGTCTTGACGGAGCCAGACTTTTTTCAAAAATGGCGTTGGCTTCACTGGGTACAACTAACTAGGTATATTCCTGGGAAGTAAAGATGGCCAGCATGATGCTGACCACATCACCCACTGAGCACCAATTGGTCTATCAAGGATTGGTCTATCAAGGATTGGTCTATCAAGGATTGGTCTATCAAGGATTGGTCTATCAAGGTCTATCAAGGATTGGTCTATCAAGGATTGGTCTATCAAGGATTGGTCTATCAAGGGTCTTGGTCTATCAAGGATTGGTCTATCAATCAAGGATTGGTCTATCAAGGATTGTCTATCAATGGTCTATCAGGATGGGTCTATCAAGGATTGGTCTATCAAGGATTGGTCTATCAAGGATTGGTCTATCAAGGATTGGTCTATCAAGGATTGGTCTATCAAGGATTGGTCTATCAAGGATTGGTCTATCAAGGATTGGTCTATCAAGGATTGGTCTATCAAGGATTGGTCTATCAAGGATTGGTCTATCCCGACATGACCCTTACGACTGAAGGCATGGAAAGGTTTCCTTTAAACAACACTAAAGAAAACAAACAAAATGAGATGCTTGAAAAGTTCTGCAAACAAAACCACAAGAGATGGTGGGATAAATGAAATGTTTACAAAATTTTTGGAACATACCTATCATTCAATTCATTGAGACACAAAGACTGAAATGGTTCAGCCACTTAGTGAGAATAAACCCAGCAGTGTTGGCAGCAAGATCATATAACTGGAAAATGGAAACACCCAGAGGCAGTGAGACCTAGAAGAAGATGGATTTGTGGAGTCACTGACACCTTAAGACCTGACAGCATCATTGCATGCCAAGCAACTGAGCGGTCACTTGCTAATCACATATAGGGAAGGTAGATTTTGGATAGTAGATCTCATACTTACAGGTCAACCCAACCTTTAACAGGTACCAGAAAATTCCTGAGAAGTTGAGGGGGTTGGTAGAATACTGACCACAGCCTGTGAGTTGAGGGGGTTGGTAGAATACTGACCACAGCCTGTGAGTTGAGGGAGTTGGTAGAATACTGACCACAGCCTGTGAGTTGAGGGGGTTGGTAGAATACTGACCACAGCCTGTGAGTTGAGGGGGTTGGTAGGATGCTGACCACAGCCTGAGAGGTTGAGGGAGTTGGTAGAATACTGACCACAGCCTGTGAGTTGAGGGGGTTGGTAGAATACTGACCACAGCCTGTGAGTTGAGGGGGTTGGTAGAATACTGACCACAGCCTGTGAGTTGAGGGGGTTGGTAGGATACTGACCACAGCCTGTGAGTTGAGGGGGTTGGTAGGATACTGACCACAGCCTGTGAGTTGAGGGGGTTGGTAGGATACTGACCACAGCCTGTGAGTTGTTTCAAAGCTTATGCTCTATTCATAGATACATATTTGAAGAAGTTAGATGATGGCAAGTGTCTTTTATAACTCTTTTAAAATGTGACAACTCACCATACATTTCAGAAAATCAAAAGCAATTTGGAACACACACAAATAGATTGCAAAATTCATTGCCTGACATACTTCGCTGTATCTCATCGGGTGCATACAACATTAATAATTGATTACAGTGAAGTGAATAAATGAATAATTCTAACTTAAACACAAAAGTAGTGGATAAAAGACTGGTCGAAAATATTACTCACCACCCATTCTGTGCCATCTTTTGAATTCTGGGCACAGTGTAAATAAGGATGATACATTTTGAATTCTTTATACCTCAACTAATGAGAGATTACTGCGATTCATAGAAGCAACAGCTATTAACCCGGTTCAGTTCAGAATTATACAGACAAAGGGGAATGGTCGTCATCTTGCATTTACCTTGGGGAAACAGACAGTTACTTTTAAGTGAAGTTGATTTTGTGTTTCAATTGGAAGTTCATTTATTTGCTTCATTTTAATCAATTGTTACTGCAGAATGCACCTGCTGAAGTACAACGAAATATGCCTGGCAATAAACTGTGCAATCTATTGTTTGTCTTCTTTTTTCAAACTCACCATACATTTCTAGGTATTAGCAAAGCTAACATAATATTCTTGCTGTCTTTCATCACAGAGAGAGTTTGTATCAACCATTTATATTTAAACTGTAACCCAACTGCTTCTTACCTGTGACATGACGCGGTGGATTAAATGCTTTACAAGTTGAGTAGGGATGTTCCTCTCAACACATTCCCTCCACCAGATTAACCGAACTAAAATCTGAGCTATGTTGCTCTCAGACAAAGTCCTGTATATCCAAGAAAACAGCCATATTGGCTCGTTAAGTACTTTAACATTAGCTGAACTTGGTACCCACAAGAGAAGGAAAGGAATTTTAGATGTCTATAGCATTTTACTTAATGAATTATTAGACAGGGCAAATGATTCCTCCGTCTTCTACCTTCTTCCGGTGTTATTATGAATAATTAAAGAATTATCATATTAATTGAGCCCCACCAAATGTAATTCTATCTATCAGTTTAGTTAAACAGGTAAGACTGAATACACTTGGAATTTAACAGACAATGTAGTATAAAACTTGACACACAGCTTTATTTACTAACAATGAAATTCCCAGTTTGTTGATTTACACAAACAGTGACTGGTTAATTTGATGATAGTGATGCTTCAGCGAGAAAACAGCTCCGGGGTTTAGAGTGGTGTGATGATGGTGATATGTTAACGCAAAAGATGTTAACTTAACTTATAAGCCTCTGACAGCCGTGAGGAACTGTCAAGCTTGTCCAACTCTTCCTTGCCTGTTTTCTGCCTGTTTCAGCTTATTCTCCACTTCATCCCCACCTCGTTCTCCACATCGTTCCCAGCTGGCCGAGTCTAACACAATGTAGTCTCCTTCATGGACTGATCGTCACATGGGCGCTGTAATCATGGAAACAAAACACATACGTGTAGTATCTTGACTTACACTAAGAATACATGTATCAATTATTGTAACATATAATAATAAAATATATCCCATCACTCTTCCTCATATTCAACATTCTCTCCAGTCTAGTCTGAAGGTCTTTTGTCTTACATGGACATCACACATCCTGCCTTCCCTCTCATGCTATGTCATGATAGTTGACTTTCTAAGTCTGTTGTCCGTCATCACTCAGACTTCGAATTGGCTGACATTGATTTGACATAAACATGTGGCGCAGGTTATGTGCTGAACACGCAAACAATTTATATGTGCACTCTGTCCTGAATTTTATCTTTCAGTGACCGTGAATTCTATACACCCATAATTCTTCCCCTGGAGTTATAAATCAGTGAGAAAATACTTTTCTACGGTAGGTCTGAGTCTGTGGCCTGCTGGCGGCACTATGAGGTAAAGCTACAATGCTCGCAGTATAAGTATCAATCTATTGTCCAAATTAAACTCCTCCCTTTACTTGGTTCTACCCAACCCTCAAGACGATGACTTAAGCCACGCCTCTGAAGTACCTATCAGATCAAATTAGCTAACAAGTGGCCTGTCCACTCAATTCCCCTGGTCTAGTCTCATCAAAAGGAGCCCCACTCAGTCTGTGTTAGGTAACCTTTACGACCTACGGTCCAGCTCAGGGAAGCTAATCTCAGGTGTGATACTAAGTTCCCCGTTCGCTGGCCTCTACAGTCTGTGGTCAGGAGATAACATTCTGACACTGGCATGAGAATCAAACCTAACATCCCTAGTCTGAACCAGCGGTCTGTATTACGTAGTGTTATGTAATTTTAAACAAAGCGCAGTGGCTTTGTCTCGGAGAAGGACTGGTAACAATTAAATCTGTGCGGTTTAAAGTAACATTTGGGTTAAGGACATAGTCTCTTGTCTGTCAATAACCAGAAGAACTTATTACAAGTACAAACTTCTGGAACCACTGAGATCGTTTCGTGACATTACCCATGGGAGCCACTGTAGTGTAGCAGCTAGTTTCATATTTAATACTTTTAAGCTCAGCCTTTTGGGATATAAAGATTTAAAGTAACAACTGCTTAGTACTGAAAGAGTTAAATATTATCTTCAGTGAAAGAGTTAAATATTGTCATCTCCAAGAAAGTATGTTAAAGCACGTTATGTGACTCACATTTAATGTTTCCAGATGCTGGGGCCAGCATGGAGGACATATGCGTCTGGTAGAGACGGGACCTAGTGGGGTCACCTGGGCCCTCGGCTTTGACAAAATGCCTTACGTATACAATGGTGGATATGGTGGCGCCTTCAGCACTGGTGAGGTTTGATATGGTTATCTGATGCGACATGTGATAGTCAGTTTGAATTTCTCTAGTCTGAGGTATGGGGCTGAGTCACTTTGGGATACTGATTAATTCAGGTAATAAATGAAATGCTATTTAAATAAAGTAACATAACTGACATGTATTAGTAAGAAAGGATGATATATGAGATACTGGTTATGTAGGGTAATATGCAAGATGCAAGTTACACTGGGTATCATATAAGATGCTGGTTATATAAGGTTACATATGAGGCACAGTTAAATAGGGCTACTTATAAGCTGTGATAAGAAAGGATATCATATACTATACTAAACTGATGGCGTAATATATGAGGTAATAAATAGACTGTGTAACATATAATTTACTAGTTATAAAATGTAACATATAAGGTACTGGTTAGATGGTGAAACATATAAGGTACTGGTTAGATAGTGAAACATATAAGGTACTGGTTAGATGGTGAAACATATAAGGTACTGGTTAGATAGTGTAACATATAAGGTACTGGTTAGATAGTGAAACATATAAGGTACTGGTTAGATAGTGTAACATATAAGGTACTGGTTAGATGGTGAAACATATAAGGTACTGGTTAGATAGTGTAACATATAAGGTACTGATTAGATAGTATAACATATAAGGTACGGATTAGGTAG